GGAAAAAAAAAAAAAAACTGAGCTGAATGAAGACTGAGCTGAGCTGAGCTGCTGAGACAGACAAAGACAGTGATGAACTCTGAAGGTTCGGATAGTTCGTCTTTGAAGAATTTGCATCATTTGTCACCCCCCCCCCCACATGCTGTCGAGTGGTGTTCTCCGCAGCACTGAGACGTCCGTTTGACGACGAGCAATCCTTCTGTTTGTGCTGCTGCTGCTGCTGCTGCTGTTGCTGTTGTTTCTGATTCACATTTTTGCGTTGTATGATGTTTTATTGTATTTTAAAATCAGTCATTTTTCAAGGGTCTGAGAACAATGTCGGCGGAGGGGCGTCGAGCAGCAGCAAGCCCGCTCGTGGACAATCCAAACAGTCCACGCAAGATCAGTGCGCCGAGTCCGCGCAAGAGCATGCTCATCCCAGCGCCCACAGACGCAGACGACAGCTTGCTCATCCCTCACGATGACGACAAGGACAATCACAACGACAACGACAACGACGATCAGAACGAGGACGACGGCCATGGCGCAGAGGAGGACGATGGCGCCGAGACGCATGGCGCTGCTGTTTCAAACGGCCACTCCAGCCGCAAGAAGAGCCACGGCGCCACCAGAAGCTCGGGATCGGACCAGACACATTCGACTGAGAGCAGAGAAGGACTGCAAACCCCAGCACGACGCGTTGTTGCCGCCGCCGCTGCTGCTACTGCTCCGACGAACAACTCGCCCAAGATGGCGGCTGCCAACTTGAGCCGCTCGCAACGAGACCTGTTTGACATGGATCAGGACGAAGCAAAGGAAGACATGCACGACTCTGAATCCAGTCAACGCTTGAGCAAGCCTTCCAGCAGAGCCAGGCGGCAGCAGGAGACCACCTCCACTGGGAGCGAATCTGAAACAAACGAGTTTTCAACCATTTCCGCTGCGAAATCCCGCGCTGCAATCGCCGCCGAGCGCAATCGGATGCTCAAGGAGCAGCAAGCCAAGGCCGCCGCAGAAGCAGAGCAACAGCGCAGAGCTCGCCTGCAATTGTTGAAAGATCGTCGCCAGGCACGTCGCTTGGCAAACATTGAGGCGCATGGTCAGCGTCAAGAGTCAGTCGGCGCGGCGCTGCTTGCAACCGTGGGTCCTAGCTCTGCCTCTTCGAAAACGCTGCTCGAGACTGGCGGATTGCGAAGTCGCCGGCCAGACAGGGAATCAGACGAAGACGAGGAGCCAGAAGACGAGGACGATGATGATGATGATGAGGATGGCGATGATCAAGACGATGCTCAGTCCAGTCAACCACGACGAGCAGTA